ATCTTTCAATGCCCTACCATGGTCAACTCACCTATGGGGTATTTTGACAAGATTACAGGATGTTTCCTGCCATACACAGCCTAAAATTGGGATAAGGGTGTAAGCTGCTTCTTCTTGGTCTTTTTCTTCCCCATCACATCACACTAGCTTGTCACGACTGTGTGGGCTCATGCTCGCTTCCGTTATTTAACTCCCCACTCCCCTCCCCTACCCTACCCTACCCTACCCTCCCCTCGCCGCGGCCTTCGTGTTGGCATTTAACGCGCCTTTCATCTCTCACCCACACTTTGCTTAGCGGGTCTTTGTCTCAATGCGTTTGCATTTCGATATGTCCGCTTTCATGCAACATGGATGGGAGGATTGAATTGACTCTAATGCAGCCATGCCACAGGCATTTACACACTTGATTGACTTTGGTAAGTGTCCCACCTGGGCACACCAAGACCAACCCACTGCTACTGGCTAGTTGCAGAAAAAGTCAGGTTGCGCTTACGTCGTGGAAGCTGGCACACTCGAAACAGACGAACATGGACCTACGTAATGCATTAACTAATCAAATCGTCAACACAGATGTTTTCTCCTTCCTATGGACCGAAAGCCTATGCTGGACTAATCACGTGAAGAGAATTGCTCTATTTGGGGCAAATATGTCTGCATAACAATCTCATCTCCGCTGTTGCAGGCTTGCCAAAACCGACGTTCACTGCATCTTTCTACGTTATTTACGATTATATATACTTATCGATACACAACCCTGGGGGAGCCAAAGGAGTGTTTGATGGTTTCGAGGTCCTCATGAAGACCGGTGTCCTCGACTCTGAAACTCCCTGGCGTTCAGTGGTCAACCTTACTGCTCAAAGGCCGACAACGTATTCAAGGTCACTGAGTCCGTTAACAGCACATGCACTGACGGTACGTGGACTCAAGCGGCCCAATACATTCAGCGAGATGGCAGACCCAGTGACATTTAGAGGAATGGATCGAGGTCTGTCCTCCTTTCCACCACTACTACTCTGCCTATGTGCAAACAGTAACTGCTTGCCATTCAGTCACCTTGATGCTTCACTTTGCCACATCCACACTGATTTACATGGGCACGCATGGGAAGCTATCACCATCCACGCATGTAATGACAAACATACCCATTCTGTACTGTGCAGATAAGAGTACTCCGCGAAATGTGAGACTTGAAGCAATCGACTCGCATACGGTGCACATGACATGGGATCCGCCAGCTGAATTCTACGATGGCATTACCGACTACATCATCTTTTGGTTGATCAATGAAGAATCCCAGGACTCCATCAAAGTCCCCCCAACTGGCTTCTATAACTTCACCGGATTGGAGCCAGGACAAAACGTTTCTGCCTCTGTTTGTGCACACAGTCAACTGAAATCTTCGCCGAACTTTGAATACATCGGTGTTTATAGTGCTTTAAAGACAACAACCACACCAGAGATGAAAGGAGGTGAGTCCCCCCTAATTGTCTTATCAAACACTGTGCTGTAAATCAAAATTGACAAGAGTACTGGGGAATTAGCTCAGAATAGGGCTTTTGTGACACTACCATCAAAATACCGCAAGATGCCTTTTATTATTTGCCTCATGTTACACAGTTAACAGCTCGTTGATGTGCATGCATTAGAGGAGATAATAAGGAAAATGTCCTGTTTCGGCTAGACGAGGAAGGCGCAGTTGTCACGACTGGGGGAACTACATCAACACCTGTAGTAGCAAAGACGTACAAACCTACACAGACCCCCTTACTTGGCGCATCTACTTCCACCGGCTCCTCTTCCATCGGATCTACCACCATTGCCTTGTTCACTTCCATGTTGACGGTTCTTGGAGGAGCTTTTTCCTAAGTCCGTGCTTTCTCCACCAACTTCACCCGTTAAGACTGTCACTCATCAAACACATCATTTTTCGTCGCAGGATTCAATAATCCTGCCATGGTCCTGTCGACAATTACTCGTCCTTACTTAGTCATCAATTCAACAAACATCGCGGGTACTTCTTCACCAGCTAATATAAATTTAAGCAAATCATTGTATTTTTCTTTGGCCGCAACCGGCTTTACTGCATTATGGTGGGTTTGGTCAGATCAATGTGAACTATGAGTGAATTGACTGCCTGATTTGCATGCTGATGTTGCCGTGTAGAAGGGGTTTGAAGGCACAATACACATTAGAAACCACCTCACTCTCTGTCACTTCATCGTCATTGCCTACTTACTGCCTTAAAGCGATACAACTCCGTTACTATTCACTCCAGGTGGAAGACGAATCGGGCACCACCAGTTGTGTGTGACTGGGTCGACCCAGTGACAGCGACGCATTCAGGCGCACACAGGCTCAAACTCGGGTACTGATGAATGGCGTAATTTTCTACATGCAAGCCTTAACACAAGGTGAGGTGGCAGTCCAGGCAATGGGATGCACTGGGTGAGGCATTTGATGGGTGCACTAACAACCACCAGTAAATAAAGCATGTACGGGCTTTTAAAGTATTTAGATCAGCAACAAACGCAAGAATCAACTCAGATTAGTTAGGCGAATTGGGAATTTAAAAGGTGAGGCATAACGGAGGTTGTTGAGAAAACAGAGGCCATTTGTTTGGCATCTCAAAAAGACAACTTGAATTTCACGCAGCATCGGCTGTCACATGGGCACAGTTGCAGTAGTCTTAGGGGT